TTATTTATTTCAAACAAAAGACGCAACATTCAAGTTTATGTGCATTTTATCTTTGACTCACTGCTATTACTAATGTATTTGTTGTTACATTTGGGGTAACAACAACGACTTGAAATATCTGGAGATCATCAGCATCAATAACAATCATATATTGATAATGATTGCGCGAATGTTTACAGTTTTAGCTTCAGTTGATACGTGTACGATGATTTCATCAAAACAAACATATCGTGTGTTTAGTCAACCTGCACTTGCTATTAAATGTAGTATAGCTGTTATTTTCTGTTGTCCCCTTATTGCTATTCACATATTTATTATGAATACTACTGTTGATGGTCAATACACTATGGCATATGTGTATACATGGATTTTTGTAATCTATTAGATACTTATTACTAGTATTTTGCCACCATTAGCTATGATTATATTTAGTTGTCTTGCCTATTTTAATATGAAAAAACTTGGTACTCAACATAATTATATATTAAATCGAAGAAAACGTCAACAACACAGTCAACTTGTTCGTATGATAACGACACAAATTATTGTTCATATTATATCAACTGAGTTTAATCCAATGAGTACACTCTACAAACAACTCACAGCGAATTTATTGAATTATTTATTGTAACAAATTGTCATTTATATCTCAATACATGGCCTCCATTTGTAATATATTATGCTACATCATTATACTTTACAAATTTTTTCATTTGTTTATTCAAAAAGAATTGTCAAGTTCAGCCACTTAATATTTGAGGATGACTACGTATCTTTTTCTCTGTCTTACCATATGTTTATTTGCGCAATTATCAGTGGTTCGTCTGACATCAGTCTCTAATGTTTTTTTTATTTTGGATCTACACAAAAGTATTCTGTTTGACTAGACCAAGAAAATGTTATTTCTAATGTATTGAGGGCGGATATGAGTGAACATCCTTTCTATACTATTATATTCTCGTAAAATATCGCATTGTTATGTCAAGAAATTGAATTTATTTTAAAAGTTCAATTTATGAAATTGTGCTATAAAATATTGGAAAGATAAATAATTCGTAGATTTAGACATAATAACTATATAATATATGTTAAAAGGTTTTACTACATCTGCATATTTTACAGACATAAAATAATTTTTGTTGATTTAAATTGAAAGTAAATTCTTGGATATACAATTTATTTATTCATAGATTTAATAATGTTCACTAGAAATGTTTTATTTATTTCAATTGATAACTTAGTTCTGATAATCTTCGTCAGTACTGGCGGAAGTTTTTTCATTGAAGTCTATCTATTGATTCTCTACTTAACGTATTTATCCGAACGCTTGCATTATCATTGTAAATGCTGTACACTTAGAAAAGTCATTACTACTAGAATTGATCGATCTGTGAACGTCATTTGCAAATATTTCGAAGATTTAATAATTCTACTGAAACACATTAGTGTTATTAATGAAGTACAATTGTTAACTAGAGTTATTTAATAGTTTCGACTGTGAAAATTATTCCAAAATCTTTTTCTTATTGATTCTATAATAAGAAATGCAATAAACCATGAACTGCTGATGACGTCTTAACATTTATTGATTGAGTATTGATAAAAATGTGAGTATGATATCAATTTGCTTAACAGATTATTGACTTACATCAATTATATTCTCTCGTAGTAATATATAACTTTGATAAAATGATTTATTTAAAAAAAAACAAACGGTTGATTTTATACCAATGATTTACATTTTTTTTTTGATAAATATTTAATTCTATTTCAATTGATTGAGATAAAATTTTACCAAGACGAACGGTAGGAAGGATGTGAGCAGAAATATAATATTTTGACTTTTACTACAGATAGAATAGAAAGTAAAGTTAATTAGGTTCGATCCGTTTATGGAATTAACAAATAAGTGATCATTGAATCTCAATAATAAAAATTGAAATGACTATCAATAGTTTCAGTTTATTGAAAATTGTGATTGACATTTGTGAATAAATATACTAATTAGTATCATATTGTGACTAGAAGATAAACTTATGTTAATTCAGTTGTGTGGTTTATTGTTTTCAACAGATCACAGAGCATACAGAAAGTTAGGTAAGTCACCAAGATTAGATGAAATTACAAGATAGTTCAATAAAAAAAGGAGAAAACGTACTGAAAGTTATAAATAAAAGTAAAAAAGTATTTCATTTTATTCCAATCAATACAAAGCAGAAACATTTTTATTTCACCTCTTATAGAAGTAAATATCTTGTAAAACGTATATAAGCCGATCATTGATAGTATATCTCTGATATTTTCGCAAAGAGTCTAATACGATCAGTATTATGCAACAACTACGAAAGTTATTTTATTTTATTTTCTTGTTTTAGATAATTATTTTGAATTATTTAATTTTTTCTAATTATTGTATTGATAATAAATGAACTGTAAATTATCAAAAGACTCTCTCTCATCGAACTGCAGTTAATTCGACCTGAATTGATGGACGATGATGCTCCATGTCCATGTTGTGAACAAGAAGTTAATGAACATCGAAATGGTCGTCGTAAGTTAATTTACTTCCAACATTTGAATTAATTCATAAAGATTCTGTGAGATTTCTTATAGGAATTGGACGTATTCCATTTACTTGTTATAACATTTATCCTCGTATAAGACGTGCCTCTCGAAAAAGTTTGATTATAAGAATATTTGTTGTCACTCTGAAAAATGTGAAGGGCGAAGTGATTCTCTTAATGAACGTAAAAAAGATGTAATATCTATAAATAACATTTTGTACACAAGTGACTCTCTAATTACTAATCATTTCTATTATGATTCACCTTTTCATGAATAATAATATTAACCAAGGAAATGAAAATCATCCTTTATTATTTCTTAATTTCTATTTTAACAATAGTTCTGATTATTTGTATGTATTCATCAAAATGCTTTCCATATTCAATTGACCAAAGAATAAATAATGATAATCAAGGAACTTGAATTCCAGTAGATATAGATACTTTCATTATGACATAAACATCTGTAGATTTATAATAATGAGTTAAGAACAAATACATCTTAGCAAGTTCATCGTCAAGTCATAGACATATCGTGTCATAAAGATTAATTCCATAAATCTCAATCGATTAATTGATCAATATACATACATAGAATATAGAACCAGCACAGAAAATAAGGAGAATGAAAACTAACTATGTGGAAAGTCAATGAATTATAGAACTCTGAACAATATTTTATATTTAAAATACAATCAATAAATGGATACGGATTGCAAGAGATTAACAAAGGTATATTCGGAAAGAAAGCGATTGATAGTTTTATCGAATTATTTTAATATGAAATAAAATCTAATATTATAGTTCATTAAGTCTTTCAGATCGGTTATTTTTAATATGTCAAATCTTCCCTACTAGAAGTCATTCCTATACGGTAATATTCGACCAGACAAGGTTAAGTATAGTACTGATTTCGTTTTCACAGATATTTAACTATTTAATGTTCAATCAAACGAATTAAAAATCTTCTAGACGAATAACGATTTTAAATTAAACGTGATTAAAGACTTTTTTTTCATGATACAAAGGACATTGTTCACTTCTATGTCGAATAATTCTTTTAATCATTTAAATTTTCAAAAGTTCGAAACAGCTGAATAGAGTTTATTGAACAATTGATTTTCACTGAAATGTCGAACATGTTGAAGAGAAAGTTTAAATTTGATTTTCTATAATCAAACTAATATAATAAGATGATCGATATATTTGATCGAACGAATCTTTTTCAACTGTTCAAATACAGTTATTTAAATTAAGACTTGTCTTATATGTACTTCAAATAAAGACTCTTATATAGAAAATAATCAAAAAGAATTTTTTCAATCAAATTATTTAATGAACAGATTGTGGACGATCCTACTCTCTCTATTAATATCCCTTTCAAAAAATCATGCACTTCAGTATTTATTAAATAACTCGAGAACACAATTAGCTAGACATTTGAAATCTTCTTCAATCGAAAGAAGAGACGAGTAAACGTCTTTTCTGTAACACTGTAAACTGCATCATTTTTTCCAAACGCTGTACAAAGTGCAAAATAATTGAAATTTTTGTATGTCATCTAATTTTGATAGACGAACTTCAGATGTGTAGTTTAAGATAGAATTCTGATGACTATCTTCCACACTCTGTTGCTCAACAAATAAAATCGTTGGTTAGTTTACTTAAAAAATACAACTTTTCCTTGATTTTTAGGCGATTTTCTTGTGCTTTTTCCAGAATTTTGCTTAAATAGAGAAAAATAATTGTATGAACGAAAAAGTCATATAACTCACTATATAGTAATGAAAATTATTTGTACTTATGTTCTAGTTTATCAATAGCTTTCAGTTAAAGTATATTATTGGGTTTACTTATCATTAAAAACGTTTAATATAATATAAACCAATTTTTCATTCATTGAAATCTTACGATAGAATGAAACCATTGAAAAACACTTTCTACAATATTATTCATACTCAGCAAACGATAAAATGATCACTGTGACAATATTAACAAAGAAAATAGTAAAAAATGATGAGAAATATCGAATAGTTAACGTAGAAATACATATAGATGATGTTGTTCTGATAGATTCACTTCGTAAAATTAAAAGTTAAATGATCTTACTTTTGAATTAGAAAATATTTTGAACTGCTATGAATCCGTAGTATATGTGTAGAATATCTGATTAACTCATTCACTTGTTCGAATCTGAGAGAAATTGGATATTAATTTATTTGAATTCTTCACAACTTATCTTGAGTATATCATAACGTGATCATTCATTACAATTTGAGCGCAAACGAATCGCGTTGTAGATGTGGAGTTAGCCAATGAGACTTATCGATTTGAAAACATTGAGATTATCCTGAAGAAATAATTACTCTTAATATTGTCTAACTGAAAATATATTTTATGAGTTTATTATCTTTACAAATTAAACATAGAGAATATCTAGTTGTTATTATGAGAAGATTGCATGTAAACAGTCATACATATTCTATATTCGATCGAAAAAAGAATATTTAACTGATAGATTTTTTTCTTTGAAGATAATATAAAGAAAAGTGTGAAGTATTATTATGATTAATAATAGTTGATATATATGTATATTAATATTGATGAGATGTATTATCTAACTTTTACATCGATAATGTGTATGCGATGCAAAAAACAGAAGAAGAAAAAGACAGGGAAGACTCTACTTGACACATCGCATTTTTAGACAATTACAAATTGTGAAATATATTTTTATCTTAGTAGTTGTTAAAAAAGGTTTGTTACTTCACACATATTTCAAGTAAAATATCTTCATTTAATAATCTTTTCAATATTAATACTCCAGAACGGTATTAATGACACAAATCAGTTTGTCATCGAGAATTGTCTTTCTTATTTACGATTAATAGTGATTTATATGGGAAAAATTGTGCGAAAACCAATAATTTATCAAACAGACAAGTTTGTGTAACTCTTAGAGAAAATAAAGATTATCAAAAAAACCTTTTTCCATCAAAATATCGTAATAGGAACCGTTTGAAAAGATGAGATATTTTATTTTCATGATGATTTTTATCTATACAAA